ATTCACCTGCCACCCATGGCTGTGTTATAAACCCTGAGAGAGGCTGCAGTGGTGTTCTGTGTTGAAAACAGTATAACCCACTATCTCACAGCCTCCACGAGGCGATGTGGGAGCCTCCCATCCTCCTCACCCATAGACTCTGTTGTCACGGTCTGGGTCTTCATCTCCGGAGACATCAAAGCAGCTGTCAGTGCAGTCAATTCCACACTCTGCAGGAGGAACGTCACGGTGGAGGCAATTTCCCTCTTGTTCTCGTTCCCACCAGTACTGAGGGTGAAGCTATTCAGGAAGGAACCAAAGGGGCCAGCAACTTCCTGAGATTGGGAAAGGAAACACCCTGAGAATGAGGGAGGATTTCAGTGGTTCATGACCCACATTCTTCAGACTCCCAGGGGAACAATGACCCTCTTAGGGACATATGGGTTCATAGTGACCTTCCCCACTCAGAGGGACTGCAGCATTCTCAAAGAGGGAGCCCTTTACAGAGCGAGTGAGGCTACTGAGGCTTGCTCAGGACTCCACAGTAGGCTGAAGCCAGGGTAAGGCTAACGCCCTTTGTCATTCGCTCCTCATCCCTGGTCCCTTCAGTGTAGGTGCCAGAGAACATTGCACCAAATCAGCAGGCATCTAGGTTCTCTCTGTGTTACCCCCAGAAGGAATTTGGATCTTCCTAGGACCAGTGGGGACAGAACCCAGATCCCCTACCACTTAAGCTAGAGAGCATGCACATGCGCACACACACCCCTTTTCTGAAGAGCAGCTACAATTTCCCCCAAAGTTAGACTGCTATTCCAGTGCTCAGGGCACAAGTAGGGGCAGAACCTCTGACCTGCAGCGATACTGCTCTGTCCTGGGTACACATGGTCTCCAAATTCACTAAGGTTGAATTCATGAAGGAGCAAAATTCACTGTTGCTGCCCTGCAGAACAATCAGAGGAAATGGATTATTTCTGCAACCATGGAAATGCCACCCACAATTAAGGTTAATGGTTCTGCAGAGCAATGTTGCTTTGACCTCTGGCTGGCTGGCTGTCCCACTAAAATGCCTACAGATTACGACATGTTAAGGCTAAGTGTGGTGAAGCCCACAGACACGCTGATATTTCACATAGTATTGAAGCTTTCATTCATATTAATGAATTTCTCCTTCCCTTCCTCACAGGGGTTTGTAAGGATTATTATCCTCCTTCTACAAGTGGGGAACCGATGCACAGAGAGACTGAGAAAATTGCCCAAAGTCACACAGTGAGTCTGCGTCAGAGATGGGAACCGAACTCTGGGGCAGGTATAGGAACTGAACTCTGACTTCCTGTGTCTCTGGCTGGTGCCTTAACTGCAGAACTCTGATATACTGTCGGGGTGTCACACACCATGATAGGGTTGAGTTTTCAAAAGCACTTGGTGTTGGACTGATTCTGCTCCCACTGCAGTCAGTGGTAAACCCTGGATAGACAGAGACTCCTCAGGCTCAAAATTTTCTCTGTACTCTTTGTGAAAACCCTCAAAGTCCAAATAAACCCTTTCGACATACCTGCAGAAAGACATCTTTGCACATCTCCAACTGCTCTTTTATCTGTGAAGTCTCAGTCTGGCATTTAAAGGTAACATCTAGCAACAGAAAGAGAGGCAGGACAATTACATCAAGTCAACATCTGCAGGGCTAAGGTTTTCAAAAGTGTCTTGTAATCTGAGACCTCTTTATAGGGCCCTGACATTCAAAAGTGCTGAGCACTCACCCTCTGACAATCAGGCCCCTTTAAAGTCTCAGATTAGGCAACCAAAGGGCCGTCCTTTCTTCCTACCAGCAGGTGTTTTCTCCCTTTAACTCCATTGATCCCTTAAGCCCTGTCTATCTGACAACTTTCAACTGAGTCTGTAATCAGTTAGCAATACATTCGGCCCTAAAAGCCTGGGGTGTGTCCACACATCACCTGGTTAATACTCACTTAAGCTTTGCCTGTGTATCTCATTGATCAGTGTGTGTTATATGTCCTCTAGGGGCTGGTCCACCACAGGTCTGGTTCTGCTACAGCTCCTAGCTATGGGAGTTCATCCCTTAGCTCAAACCGTAGTAGGTCATGCAGTTACAAAGTCCTGGGTTTGAACATTGGCGATAACCAGGAAGACAGTTGTTACATCTATAGTCAAGAATTTTCCCTTTCCAGGAACTGTTCTAACCCTGATATTGTACTTCTAAAAGACCGGAGT